AATGGCACTTGCGTTCACCTGCGAGGAACTCACCTTGTCACCTTCGCCGAATGTGCCACGGTTAATGAAACCCGGTACGCCAACTATGGCGCGGCCCAAAAGAGGGTCCCAGGAGTGGCTAGCGCGCCCTCCCTCAATATCACCCTAGAACATGATATACTCAGCCTCCCTTACCTTCACCGCTTGAGTGAGCGTAACCTGGAGCATATTAAGAGATTCGGGGAGGATATCAACGACTATCATTCACATCAGATAGTACTAGTGCAGGAGCCATATGCTGCGCGTTGATCTGCGTCGGCTTAACCTATCGGCGAGTCATCCAGGCCAGGAGATCTACGGCCCAGATAACAGAGATGATTGCCCAAATAGGGTCGGCCGAGGGCGGCCTTGTTCCTGTGGGGGGAGTAGTTAACTAACTCAGCCGGGCAACGGCAATGGCCGTCCGCCCGAAAGCTCGCTCCGGCCAAACTGCTGACACAGCGTCTGGCCGGAAGCTCATGTATAGCCGGCAAGCACTACCCATTGGAGTGGCCGCTATGATATTCACTTTTGTTAGCTTTTAAGTTCAGTTCATATTTGGCATTCAATAAATCCAGAGCACAAGCTCTTATAAATGAATCTCCGACACTTTGTCGTTAACTCTTGTATTTACTATCATACTGACTGAGTCTCTAGGCCAGCGGTATTGAAGGGAAGTCAACCTTCCATCATAAACATCCTATCTCAGCATTGGATTAACCAGGCCAACCGGCCGCACACGGAACTTCCGACATCATCCTATCTCAGCATTGGATTAACCCGGCCAACCGGCCACACACGGAGACACCGACATCAGCCATCCGGCTAACACTTATTAGAGACAGCGGCAAGGGAGTACACAAGATTACCCCTATCCCCCCATTTCCATTAATTTATATTTGTGCACTTGTCGTATGCAAGTGCAAAATAGCGGAGATAAGGAGAGGCGGAAAAAATTTCCAAATATTGGAGGGTCGACTTGCAGACGATTATGTCGACTTGCAGACATATGTACATATATTTAATTACTTAAGTGGAGTTCAGCTCAGGATAGAGTAAGGGAGTAAATAAACAAATATATGTACGAATTAAATAAAATTATAATTGTAGTAGCCAGGGCTGGATTTACACTAAGTGCTCTCGGTGCTTAGGCACAGGGCGGCAAATTTTGGGGGGCGGCAAAATTTGAAACGAAAATCGAAAATTTTTTGTTATAGAAAAATTTTTTGTAACAAAGGTGAATTTGAAGAAGAAATTTCTTACTGGAGAAACATTTTGAAAAGAGTAGTTGCTGCTACTAAAGCACTAGCGTCACGTGATCTTCCACTTCGAGGAAATGACGAGAAATTTGGCTCTCCAAACAATGGAAATTTTTTGATGCTGATAGAATTCCTCGCATTATTTGATCCGTTTTTAGAAGAACACATCCGAAGATTTGGGAACAAAGGATCTGGCAGTACAAGCTATTTATCGAAAACCATTTATGAAGAATTCATACAACTTTTGGCAGATAAATTATCATCCATCATAGTTGAGAAAGTCAAAACGCAAAGTATTACGCAATAATTGTGGATTCAACTCCTGATGTTTCGCACGTCGATCAACTTTCATTCGTTTTGAGATACGTGCAAAAAGACGGCACACCTGTTTAAAGGTTTCTGATGTTCATTGAAAACACTGGACACAAAGCAGAAGATTTGTTGATTGCTGTAATATTTGTTCTTGAATGTTTTGGCCTTAATATTGCAAATTGTCGAAGTCAGTCGTCGCGGAACACGCTCCTTGTGCTGGTCATTCGATGAATTTAATTGGAATTCACGCAGTGGAAAATACTTCCGAAGGAGCATCTTATTTTAACACAGTCCAAGCATTGTACAATTTCTTCACTGCATCTACACATCTACAAACTCATGCAGGAGAGAAAATCGCTTTGAAATCATTGTCTACAACAAGATGGTCAGCTGTTCACGAAGCAGTAAAGGTGCTCAACAAGTACTATGGTGATATAATTGAAACTTTAATTACCATTGAAGAAGACATCACTGAGAACGCAATCACAAGGCAAAAAGCAAGAAGACTTCGCATCCAACTTGAACGACTGGAAATAACATTCATGCAGATTCTTTGGCATTTTTTACTTTCGAGATTCGATGCTGTTAGCCGAAGGTTGCAAAAGGTTGATATCAGCTTACCTAATGTGATTGATGACTATCGTGGACTGATCAAAGTAGTAGCTGATACACGAATGGAATTCGACGTTTATGAAAATAAAGCGTTAGAAATCTCAGAAAGTCAAGAGTACCAGACAACTGTGTCTAGAAGTTGCAGGCCGATGAATCGCGAGATGGAGATGTTCAATTGTCAGGAAGGGATAATTTTCGAATCAATACTTTTAATGTCATTCTTGACAATCTCGATTCTGAATTGCGAAGAAGATGCCAAGCATATGAAAAAATTCAGGAAAATTTTTCAGTTATCACTCAATTTGGCGATTTGAATTCCTGCGAAATTCGTAAAAAGTCGGAACATCTAAGAACAATTTATAGCTCAGATCTCGAACCTTCATTAAATGACGAATTGGTGCACTTCCATGCGTATTGCTCTGAGAAAAAATTAGAACATGATTCACCATCCAAGCTCTTGAAACTCTTGAAAAAGAACGACTTATATACTGAGTTCCCAAACGTAGGAATAGCATATCGTATATTTATGACATTGGTGAATTGCAGCGCAGAACGTTCATTCTCATGTTTGAAACGAGTGAAAAACTATGTTCGTTCAACTATGACGGGCAGTCGGCTAAATAGTCTAGCGATTCTGTGCATCGAGTCGGATTTACTTGAACGCTTGGATTGTGATGAATTAATTAATCAGTTTGGGGTAAAGAAAGTCAGTCGTGTTCGCATTTGAAAAGTGTATCAGAAACGCATTAAGTCTATTGTAATTTTTTCATTGAATTTAAAATTTTCATTATCAGACAATTTTATTTCCTTTTTGGATAGTGGATCTTGACGACGGTTAAACAATGCAAAACAAAATTACCACACTTTGCCTTAATAAATTGAGGATTTTTCTAAACGAATAATTAAATTTACCTAACTCTGTAATAATTAAATAATAGGGTGCACTCTTGTAAATTTAACGAAAACGATTATAAACATTTATAATTATCTCGTATGTTGACTTCAAGTTTTATTTCCTTGTAAAAAAGCCTCATGTAATTAATTATTCCCTTACTATGAAACAATAAATGACTTGAAAATGAACGTCTTGAATCAATTTCATCTGCTAATAGTATACCTAACGATTTCATTGACACTTTATTTAGGTATAATTTGAAATAAATAATAAAGGCGGCATTTTATACAGCGCCCAGGGCGGCATTTTACAGAAATCCGGCCCTGGTAGTAGCTGCGGACAGTTATTGTTGTATGTATGTATATTGTTGTAAATTTGTAAATATATGTTTCGGAGTGAAGTGGACTGTATTTCTAGTATGTATGTAATGTAAATAAATGCTAGCGGGAACACAGTAAACGAGAAGGAATTTAGAATAATTCGAAATTGGAAAGTTTTACTGTGGCTTAGGCATTTATTTAAACAAACACTTTATAAATTTTGAAACCCGTGGATCTTGTATAGAAATTATTTGGATATAATTTCTCGAATATGGGGAAATGCCAATGTTGACAGCGATTGTAGTCTTGTGGAGTGGACTGTATTGAATATGTATGTAAAATGTAAATAAATGGTAGCGGGAACACAGTTAACGAAGAGGAATTGAGAACTATTGGAATTAAATTCTCACTGTGGCTATTGCATTTATTTATTTATTTAAACACACACTTTTGGATTTCGGCACAGAAATTGGAAACAAATGTAGAAAATTTGGAAACCGAATTATTTTGAATTTTTGGAAGTTATTATGCTGCCGTAGTGTCGGATTAATCGGACTTAGATTAAGACAATAATCATACAGAGAAGTTAAGACAAATTGAGTTTCGCAAAACCTAACTGTATGACCGGCAGCAATAATGTAATGAACTTATCTGGTGCGGTGTTAAAGCCACCGGAACTGCTGGTGGATGAAATCCGGCTCTGATGGACCAAATGTTGGAGGGGGGCGGCTTTAACCTGAAATGCACTCGAAATAAGAACACGTAGGACTTTCTGTTGTTACGCGACGTGCGTCTGGATGTTTATTTGTAGAAGAAGTAATTGGTACTAACTATACAAAAGAAACTAAAGCTAGGGAGAGCGGATTGGAAGCTCTTTGGACTGGAAGTCCGGAGGAAGAGGGAGAGAAAAGGGGAGCGTTCGGGATCACACTGCCTCCCGAAATTAAACGCATTTCTGGCGTGAACAGTCCCTATCTCCCTAAGAACGCTCCAAAGCGAGCTAGAGAGACGGGGTGACGCAAGCGCAAAAAGCAGGTGGAGGAGTAATTCCGCAACCTGTTGAATATCAAAAATCATGTGTAAAGAGCACAACTAGAAACTCACCCACTACGTGCTGCATCTTCCGCGGAAGGACTGCAGAATGTTAGTGGGTATTCTTACAGGTCACTGCCTGTCTGCTACACATGCAATCAAGCTGGGTATTACCGACAACGCCAAATGCCGGAAATGTGATGAATCCGAGCCAATCGAAACCTTGGAGCATCTCATTTGCAAATGTCCGGCCCTAACGAGGGCAAGAATGAGATACCTAGGCTCTCCAGTTCTGGCATCGCTAGAAGATGCCTCCAGGAGGAAGCCAGGCGATCTCCTTGCCTTTGCGAAAAACGCCTTGAAATTCAAGGATTTCAAAACCCGCATAAATAGTTTCTAGGTCCATCCAGGAGTTTCCCCGGATAGCTATGGGCCATATTGGCCTATGTGTGGCCCCTCGAGGGCCGTCCGGTCTAACCTAACCTAACCTTCAAGGAGCACCTTGAGTACGTCCACCAAAAGGCCAGCGGTACGGCAGGAGCGCTCTTCAGGATGCTGCCGAACACGAGAGGTCCAAGGCAGAATACTAGGAAACTCCTTTCTTCGGAGGTGACCGCGCAGATCCAGTACCCGGCACCACCAAAGCAGCAGTGGAGGAGACCTACCGACTGTGTGCCATCAGGATCGCATGCTCGTTCCGGACAATTTCGGAGGACGCGGAATTGGTCATCGCAGGGCAAATCCCACTGACTGAGCTCATCCGGGAGAGGAAGAAGATTTTTTAATCCCTACTGGACAGGCGGTCATCGCTGTCCATAGCTGAGGGGAAGCTTGCCGCCAGAAGAAGGAGCATCGAGAATTGCCAAGCTCGATGGGACTCTTCTCCGAAAGGCCGGTGGACGCACAGGCTCATCCCAGACCTAGCGCGGTGGGTAGAGAGGGCGCATGGCCAGGTGAGCTTCTACCTCAGCCAGGTGCTTAGCAGCCACGGATGCTTCCGCCAGTACCTAAAGCGCTTTGGCCACGAGGCGGAAGAATGGTGCCCGGAGTGCGGCTCTGGCATAGTGGAGGACGCGCATCACATTCTCTTCGAGTACCGCAGGTTCGGCCTCGAGAGACAGGAACTGGAGGAAATAGCGCGATCTACGATTAGCGCCGAAACATTGGTGCCGAGGATGCTCGGGGACCCAAAAGTGTGGGAAGCGGCAGACACATTTGCCGCTCACGTCACGAAGACCCTCAGGACTCTGGAGAGAAGGCGGAAGGAGCGGCCGGAGTAGGAGACTCCGCGCCCGCGAAGCAATGCCAGGCGGCGGTACCGCACGGCGTGAGCTCTTATTCCCCACGTACCTTTCTTCGTCTTGTTGTTGGAGCATTATTATTGTTATTATTTATACTATTATACAGGGTGACAATAAATAACCCGGACAAATTTTGAAGCAATCGATTATAAATGTGTTATGATGAAGCCCTTAAATAAATGCATTTATAGATAGCTTGTACTTTTCTGAAACAAATATATTTACATTTTTGTGATTTCCATCAATTTGATATTTGTTTCGGGATGTCTAACAATCGTTGTGCAATTTTAAAACTGTTTCAACAAGGAAATCGCCAATGCGACATTGTTCGTTTGCTTGGCATACAAAAACAAACGGTCTCTGACGCTATCCGGCGATTTAATGAGCTTGGTCATGAAGGTGACCGTCACGGACAAGGCAGACCATGCACCGCTAAAACTTCCAGAATTCGCCAGATCGTGAAAAGGCGAATCACTCGAAATTGCAGAGTCTCGGTCAGAAAAATAGCTCGTGAAATCGGAGTGAATCGAGAAAGTGTTCGGTTGATTGCAAAAAAATGAACTTAATCTCAAGCCCTACAAGCTCCAAAAAGTGCAGCTTCTTAAGGATGACAATAAGCGCGTGAGACTCCAAAGATGCCGTCAGCAATGGGAGCGTATTCTCTTCACGGTCGAGAAGATATTCACCATCCAACAGGCGCACAATTACCAAAATGACAGAAGCTGGTCAGCTGAAGCTCCAGCTACCTCTGCAATAATCGAGCGCCGTCAATGTAAGCAGTCTTTAATGGTTTGGGGAGGAATATGCGCCACCGGAAAAACACCTCTTGTTTTCATCGATCAAGGGGTCAAAATCAACTGTTGTGCTTCCTTGGGCCTAGCAGCACTTCGGTGATACGGAGTGGACGTTTCAACAGGATTCAGCGCCAGCCCATAGAGCCAAATTGACTCAGGACTGGTGCAAAGCCAATTTTCCGGACATTATCACATCCAGTGAATGGCCACCTTACTCGCCAGATCTTAATTCGATGGACTACAGTGTGTGGTCTATTTTGGAGTCCAGGGCATGTGCTAAACGCCACATAAGGTTAGAGGCAATCATTGCTCCAAGAATTGGATCGATTATCGGAAGAAGACCTGCGGCCCATTGCGCTAAATTTCCAGAAACGTTTAGGGCTCTGCATCGCAGCCCAATGAAGCCACTTTAAAACCGGTTGAATATATGTTAACACAATACCTATTTAATAGTTGCGTATCTTCATTTTTTCTCAAATACAGTTCCTTAAAAAGTTATGATCAAAAATGTTTGTCCGGGTTATTTATTGTCACCCTGTACTATAAAATAATTTATAGGTCGAAGTTGGATTGGGAATTTAGGAACCAATTGGACTCGTAATAATTATTTTTGAAATAATTATTATTTGTGCAAAATTGTATTTTTCTCGTATGGAATTTAAATCGGGAATGTTTGAATTAAATACGGAACTACGAAAATACGGTCACACTAATGCGGATATGGAAGCACACTTAGATTTATAACTTAATCGGTTAGTTGGAATTTTAATACAAAATAATTTAAAATTATTTTATTTGTCTGGTCTTATTTGATTGACCGGTGCTGTATTTCGGAACCAATACGTATGTGTGTATATTTGTGCACTTATCGTATGCAAGTGCAAAATAGCGGAGATAAGGAGAGGCGGAAAAAATTGCCAAATATTGGAGCGTCGACTTCCAGATGATTATGTATGTATGTACATATGTATATTTAATTACTTAGGTGGAGTTCAGCTCAGGATAGAGCACGGGAGAGTAAGTAAATTAAGTACACAAACAAAGTTGGCGTTGCGGTGCATATATTTAAATAAATTTATAATCATAGGAGCTGCGGACAGTAATTGTAGAATGTTGGGTTATATATTTATATAATTGTTGTAAATAAATGTTTCCGAGTGAAGTGGACTGTATTTGTATTATGTATGTAATGTAAATAAATGCTAGCGGGAACACAGTAAACGAGAAGAAATTAAGAATAATTCGAAATTGGAAAGTTTTACTGTGGCTTAGGCGTTTATTTAAACAAACACTTTATGAATTTTGGAACCCGTAGATCTTGTATAGAAATTATTTGGATATAATTTCTCGAATTGGGGAAATGTCAATGTTGACAGCGATTGTAGTCTTGTGGAGTGGACTGTATTGAATATGAATGTAAATGTAAATAAATGCTAGCGGGAACACAGTTAACGAAAAGGAATTGAGAACTATACGGAGTTAAATTCTCACTGTGGCTATCGCATTTATTTACACACACAATTTCGATTTTGGCACAAATGTATGAATATTTTGGCTTTGGAATTGGAAGTTATTATGCTGCCGTAGTGTCGGATTAATCGGACTTGGATTAAGACAATAATCATACAGAAAAGTTCGACGAATTGAGCTTCGCAAAACCTAACTGTATGACCGGCAGCAATAATGTAATGGACTTATCTGGTGCGGTGTTAAAGCCACCGGAGCTGCTGGTGGATGAGATCCGGCTCGAAGGACCAAATGTTGGAGGGGGGCGGCTTTAAGCTGAAATGCACTCGAAATAAGAACACGGAGACTTGTCGGGGTTTTACGCGACGTGCGTCTGGATGTTTATTTGGTAAGATGTAAATTGGCACTAAAATACAAAGAAGAAAACTAAAGCTAGGGAGAGCGGATTAGAAGCTCTAGGGACTGGAAGTCCGGAGGAAGAGGGAGAGAAAAGGAGAGCGTACGGGATCACACTGCCTCCCGAAATTGAGCGCCTTTCTGGCGTGAACAATCGTATATTACGACTTGCAACCATATTAGAGTGATATGAGAATATTGGCTGCCGGGATAACTGAACTCAAACACAAGTGTTCAGAATTACAGAACGTCAATGCATGTAACTCTATATATGCGCACTTTCAACACTTACATGCCGAGTTACAAGCCGGAAATGAGCTTATTAATCGCTCACGGCAGCGAAGATCACCACTAAGTATAGTCGGTAATGTTGCGAACTCATTATTTGGCGTGCTGGATTCCAAATATGCTGAAGATATGTCCAAGGTCATAAACGATGTCAAATCAAACGAGGACATATTAATGATGCTATTGAAGAACCAAACATCGATCTTGGAATCCACTATAAATGTGGTAAGGAAAAGCAATTCAGCTACCAACGACCAACGACCAAAATATAGAACGACAAATAGATGCTCTCACCAGAGAACGAGGAAAATATCAAGGCAACTATCTGCAACAAGCATTCATGGTCCTGACAGCCCAGCTCACTCTACTGGCAAGTGGAATGCAGCAAATGCGAAATGAGATAACCAACGTTCTTACCGACATTCGCCAGCGAACAATTAGCCCCATGCTAGTTTCTCTCCAACAATTAAGGGATCAACTTGATCAGATTAGGGAACACATCCCACCGGATCAACAGCTGCCAGTCTCTTCAAATGACGTAATTCAACTCTATCGAATCATGCATGCCGAGGGAACAACAACCACTGACCATGTTATCTTCGAAATAACGCTGCCACAGCGCAGCAAGAAGTTTTCAGCGTCATCTCCATCCCAGCATGGAAGGCAGGAAGCTGGCATGAATTCAAGCTCAAAACAAGGATCATAACTGTCAATGCCCATGGAGATCAATTCATGGGACTAACTACTGACGAGTTTGATCAATGTCTACAATTGCCAAAGGATGGACACATATGCGTCAATCATCAAGCTACGTTTAGCGTAGATAACACAGGAACACAAAATTAAACTTTGTGAAATTTCCACGAACCATTTCAAGTTTTCCATGATATTTGGGTGCTCCTGAGTAAAAGTCCCATACAAAATTATTTTCCATCACCTACAGGTTCCGCGGTATACCTAAGAATACAAAAAACCGATGTTTGCCGACATTTTGAATTACGTGGCCTATATAATTGGACTTACCTTTATTATTTTTGGTAGGACCTACTCTCAATACATCACGGCACTACTAAAAAATAGTCCCAATCGTGGACCATTGCCCATGTCTTTGGAATTCGACGCCAAAGTTGAAACTCCCAAAATTTTCAACATTTCTGTGATGAAAAAACAATTCTGAGAATTAAATCTTATATGGAACTAATTTTAAATATTCATTGAATCTATTGTTCATTGTATTCTTTAATTTCGGTTTAAAGCGTTTTCATGAGGACATTTTATTGGATTTATTAAACGAATATAACCGCTTTTTTGGTTTGATTATCTACTACTATTTTCTGTCAAAATTCAAATAAGTCAAGGCAACCTATAGAATGCGAGTAAATATGTATCTTTTTATATATAATATAATTTTAGATTTTTTACTACCATTCTATAGGTTGCCTTGACTTATTTGAATTTTGACAGAAAATAGTTGTAACGCGCAGACGCGCACAAATATATATATAAAATATAAAATAAGGAGGATAACGGATTAGACAATTGAAAACTATGAATATGGAATAGATTTGAATTAAATGCGCGCGCGCGCCATGATCGCGCCCAAATGGTCACACTGGCCCAGGAAGGGCCTGGCCACACTATTATGGCAAAATATCTTCGGGTGCGGCGGTCACACTCGACCCTGCCAGAGCCCTATATAAGGCGAGCCTCAGCCCTTGGAAGGCATTCAGTTTTCGGCCAGCGATCGGCCAAGTCCTCCACCAGGAGCTAAGAGGAAGCCAGCAGCAAGGAGTCACCCAAGGAGCACGGTTAAGTAAGGTATATTGGTAAGCGGTAACCCATAGTCGGACCCCGACCATATCTTACGTCTATAACTTGTGGAAGACCTTAGGGCCTCTCTGTACGTCTCAATATTGGAAGACCTAAGGGCCTCCATATAAGTCTCTATATATCTCGGTAGACCTTAGGGCCTCCGTGCACGTCTCAATATTGGAAGACCTAAGGGCCTCCATATAAGTCTCTATATATCTCGGT